CCGGCGCTTGCGAACATCGGCGCTAGTCGACGCTGGTCGACGCTAGATCGGCGCGACTTCAATTTTTTCGCACGGTGTCTCACGCGAGAAACGTCATGTCTCGAACCACCGTCGCGAAACAGTTGTTCCAACCTCCACGTTTTCTCAGGACGTCTGGAGCCAAGCGCTCCCGTTACACAATGTTTGCTATGTTTCGATGCGCCATGCTCGAAATCCTCAGGACGTCTGAGACGATACGATCCCGATCTCTTCAAAGTCCATTTTCTGAAGATAGCCAAGACGAATGTTTTTAGAACAAACGTCGCTCCAATCTCTCCCTGTTTGTGTCTGTTTTGCGACCTCTCCAAGTCTGGGGCCCAAGGCACCCCGACTAAAAGAATACTCTGGGCCCTCTGGTCGCCCTCTTGGAAATATGTTGGGGACCCTCGTGGGCCTCCGAGGAGCTCGGAGACGCTTCACGAGGGGCTCAAACCAAATAGATCAATGATTTGGGTGTTTCCCGCTTCCTCCTCCTCCTCCTCCTCCTCCTCCTCCTCCTCCCCCTCCCTCCTCCTCCCTCCTCCTCCTCCTCCTCCTCCTCCTCCTCCTCCTCCTCCTCCTCCTCCTCCTCCTCCTCCTCCTCCTCCTCCTCCTCCCTCCTCCTCCTCCTCCTCCTCCTCCTCCTCCTCCCTCCTCCTCCTCCTCCTCCTCCTCTCCTCCTCCTCCTCCTCCTCCTCCTCCTCCTCCTCCCCGAGGTGGCTCCCTGCGGGGCCCCTCTTCGCCCCCCCCCCCCCCCCCCCCCGCAGTCATTTTGCCCGCGGGGGCGCGAGGGCCCGCCAGTGGGTGCCCCCAGCCCCAGGCGCTCGCCTGGCGCGATGCCGACAGCGCACGTGCCGCCTTCCTGTGCGGCCTCGCTGTCCCGTGCCGCCCGATGCCGCGCCAGAGGGCGCTGCACGGCGGCTCGCCACGCACAGGCTGCGGCTGGCGCGATCGCTGCACTGCTGCGGCCGCGGGCCTCGCCCGACATGGTCGCGGAGGGCGAGGCTCCATGCGTGCCCGAAGGCCCACCGCCCCTCGTGCCAGGGCTTCTTGGCGGAGGTTCCGAGGGCGCGGTGCCGATCGACCCCTTGGGCCTGGTCGGCGCCCCCGGGTGCTGGCCGCTACGCTCCTGCCCCCGGCCAGCGCCGGCTGGCCTGGGCTCGCCGTGCCGCTGGCGCCGGGCTGCTGGAGTCCTCCTGGCGCTGGAGAATGGCGTGGGGACGGTGGACCTGCTGGACTCCCTGGTGATGCTGCGCATGTGCCTTGCCCCGTAGGTGGCGCTCTGCCGCCGTCGATGGGGGGCACGCCTGCAGCGCAGCCGCCTCCGCCTGCTGGACCTCCTCGTACTCGGCGTGGTGGGAGTCCACGAAACGCCGCTCGAGCTTGTGGGGATCGGCATGGAGTCGCTGGACCTTGTCTGGACGTGCGCGCTCATAGTCCAAGTATTCTCGAGCCTACCGATGTCGCCCTCCCTCGTCCAGTTTCTGGGCCGCGTGAGCGAGTCTTCGGTGCCCGACCTTGGGGTGGCCGACCCTCTTCGCCCGCTTCCTGGGCAGCCTGGCCGCATTCTCAGGTTGTGCCTCAATATTTTGCTGAAGAAGTCGTTCTTCCTCGACCTGTTCCTGGGCCTCGTGGGCGTCTCTTCGGCGCTCGGCAGTGGTATGGTGCTTCTCGGCAGCTCGTCGGGCCTCGAGGAGGCGCGCTCAAGGCTGGGCCGCAATTCAGCGGGACTGACGACGACATTGCTTCCCTTTTGGCGGCCGGCAGAGCTGCCCTGGTTGACGGTGCCGCGGCAGAGCCCAGGAGCGACGGATACCTCTTCAGCGACATGGCGTATCTCTGGGGGTTCTACGCTGAAGGCTGGCTGGATACTCCCTGTCGCCCCAAGTCGTGCACGGCGGACGGCGAAGCGACGACTGGGGCTTCTGAGCCGATTCCGACAGTGGGCCTTGGCACCGCCTCAGATGCATGTCCTGGCGAGCTGGGACGCCGTCCCCAGTAGTCGTCAGCAGGGTTTCGCTTGGCCGTGCAAGCGCATTTGGTCACGGCAGCCAGCCCCAGCGACCAGGGAGTGGCTTTGGTGGACTCTCCTCGCCTGTAGAGGGGCCCAGCTTGGCGGATAGCACGAGCCGTGATGCCGCACACCTGGTTCATGGTTTGGCCTCTCGAGGGAGTGGCTTTGGTGAACTTCCTGCGCTTTGCGGGAGGCACGGCCTGGAGGATGGCACGAGCTGTGCCGTTTCAGGTGACGCCACACACCTCCGCTCCCAGGGAGTGGCTTCGGTGGACTCCTCTCGCCTTGAGGGGGGGCACAGCCTGGAAGATTGTGCAGAGCGCTGCGCTGTCCCAGGTGATGCCGAAAACCTGATTGGAGCACTGGGCTGATGCTGCGCTTGGCCTCCGCCCAGTTCCTTTTTCCTTTCCTTTGGTTTTGTTTTTGGATCTGGGGGCTCTCCCCGCGATGCCTTGGGTGGGGGAGCGCGTCACTGACAGATTTCGAGGCGGGCAAGGGCATTGCCTCCTTCTCCTGTGCACGCAAGGCGCCCTCTGGAGCGCGGCGTCCGCCAGCCAGCGTCGTGTCCTCCTCCTGCTCCCCCTCCTTCTTCTGATTACGAGACTGCCGAAGGCCTTACGCTCCGCCGTCTTTGCTGTCTGCTGATGGATCGCGCATTTGTGCCACTCTGGGCTCTGCCCCGGTCGGTGGGCCTTTGACTAGGGTGGCATTCCTTGCTCACGATGCAGGATGGATGGGTGGCCTGCTTGTCCATCTCTTCCTCCTCCTCGTCCTCCTTCTCCTTTCCCCTTTCTCCTTCCTCTCGTCGTCGTCGTCGTCGCCGCCGCCGCCGCCGACGACGACGACGACGACGTGCGTTGTCGTCGTCGTCGTCGTCGTCGTCGTCGTCGTCGTCGTCGTCGTCGTCGTCGTCGTCGTCGTCGTCGTCTCCTCCTCCTCCTCCTCCTGCTCCTCCTCCTCCTCCTCCTCCTCCTCCTCCTGTTCCTGGTCCTCGTCCTCGTCCTTGTCCTCCTCCTCGTCCTCCCCCTTACCTTTCTGGACCTCTGTTCTTGAGGCCCCCCGCCCGGCAATTCCTCGCCCGATACCCAGCCCGACCCCCCACCTGGCCACCACCACGCCACCACCTGGCACCGCACCCCAACCTTATCGACCTCTTTTCTCGAAGCCCTTATCCGGCAAATCCTCGCCCGAAACCCACCCCGACCCCCCTGGCCACCACCACGCCACACCACCTGCCCAACCAGGGCCCACGAGGAGACAAGAGAGCACCAAAACGCCCCCCGACGGCCCCGAGACACGCACGCCAAAATGCCACATTTGCGGCCCACTTTCTCAATGGGGGGCCGCCGTGGCTGCTGCTCAGCGGGCGCAATTGCGCTTCCTGCCCCCATATCTGTATCGGTGCATCTCCACATCTTCGCGTCTAGTCCAATCGGAGTCGCGATGTATGTATTACGAATGCTCTTAATCTCGCTCTCCATCTCGCTATTTTTTCCTTTTTCCCAACCATCCTGTGGTGTTGGGTCTTCGTTTTGAAGAGACAGTCCCCGCGTTCCCTCCTTCCTTCCTCCCCCTCCTCCTCCCTCCTCCCCGTGTCACCCACCCAATACAGCGTTTCGTGGCCCCATAGGGGGCTCCACCAAAGCCCCCAGTGGGACCGTCCGGGACGCACGAATTTGGCAATTTCACCCACCCAATACAGCGTTTCGTGGCCCATAGGGCGCTCCACCGAAGCCCCCAGTGGGACCGTCGGGGACGCATGAATTTGGCATTTTCACCCACCCAATACAGCGTTTCGTAGCCCCATAGGGAGCTCCACCATTGCGGTACTCACAACTGCATATGGTTGGGTCCTTCGCCAGGATAATTTTGTACACCAGTTTGGACCACATCAATCTTCATGTGCAAATCTAGTGTGGAACATCGGTCCCTGCATCCTGACGAACTTCGATCGGCAAGCTGATGGTAAGCTGTGCCCCACGCTACCACAATGCGAATCAATTGAGGGAAGCATGGTCTCATCAAATGCAGATACGATTTGGAACACAGGCGTGCCCCCAAACTGTTCGGAAACGTGGTGAAGGCTCATCCTCGCAAGTATGACCAACGCCAACACGATCTGCCACATCTTTTTCGTCTGATCGGGTGTGCACAATGCCTCAGAATGCGTGCTGCAAGATGCAGGCCACGTCTACATGCAGAAATAACAATCGCAGATCAATGGCCGAGCCAAAACATGCACCGGAACCTTTGGCTATCTTGTGCTGCCGTGCTCCGTGTGCCGACGATTCGCGACCCTCTCGATGCTCAGACAATCTGGCCGAGTCGAGGTGCAATACAGGAAAGCACGAAAAACCGAAAGGCTGACAAAGCCGACAATCTAGAGCCCAGAGTCTTGGAAGGAAGACCATCAGGGTGCAGGATGCACAACAAAGAGAAGTGGACATGGGGATCGAATGCGATTTTGGGACCGTGGAGAACACCAGCGAGATGAAGGGCCCGACTGGCTCCGGGCACGGCGCAGAATGTAGTGGGAAGCCGTCCAACCCCGACGGGCGAGGAGACCACACCGGGGAGGGGAAATCTACAGAAGGCAGAAGCACACATCGCTTCGTATGTGGTGAGACATGCGAGCTACGGTGAGACGTGCGAACGGACCGACAGCGGCCCCTGTTCCTCCTCCTCCTCCTCCTCCTCCTCCTGCTCCTCCCTCCTTCTCCTCCCCCTCCTCCCTCCTCCTCCCTCCTCCTCCTCCTCCTCCTCCCCCTCCGTCCTCCTCCCTCCCTCCCTCCTCCTCCTCCTCCTCCTCCTCCTCCCTCCTCCTCCTCCTCCTCCTCCTCCCCTCCTCTCCTCCTCCTCCTCCTCCTCCTCCTCCTCCTGCCTCTCCTCCTCCTCCTCCTCCTCCTTCTCCTCCTCCTCCCCCTCCGACCCTGGACGCCTGGAGGGCCCTGGCACGGCACGGGGCGGCTCAGGTGATGTCGGCCTCGGCCCCGCCGAACTGCTCGGCCAGGCGCTGCAGAACTTGCTCGAGATGCTCGAGTCTGGCCCTGAGCTCCTCGTCGCTCTCCTGCCGGGGGGGGCAGCTGTGGGAGAGAAGGGGCAACGAGGAGGTCCCAGTGAAGGCACCGTGGCCACGCTCACATCTCAGACACCCCGCAACTGGATGGTATGACATTTCTGTGGCGTCCGTGTCGCGCCCCCGCACGCGCGCGAATTTTGCGGCCACCTCTGGCGCTGTGGGCCACGAGCGCGTAATAAAACAACGAGTTGCGCCAGCAGATACGTCAAACGAACTTATGTCCACTGCGCTTGAACCGAAACCATGAAATCCCGGATAATGGGGAAGGCAACGACGAGCGAAGCACAGACATGTAGCGACCAAGCCCGCGCGAAGGTTGCAGAGAAGGGGCAGCGCAAGTATGTCGACAAGCGCCGCACCTGCGGGGAAACGTGCGAGCAAAACAGGAAACTGCTCAGGAGAGCCAAAGACGCACTCGTACACATTACCGTTGTAGGCCATAGCACGGGGCAAGAGCTATCGTGAAGTCCATCCGGCGTTTGCGAGCGGGTGGCTGCCCCAGGCGAGCGAGCGTGCAAGGAACAAAACCCACCGGAGTGGGCAGGCAAGCAGTGCCGGCGCGTGCAAACGCGAGAAAGTGCTTAGATCCGGAGCGAGCCGGGCCAAGTGCGGAGCAGAGGAAACAGCGGACTGGAGCCCTCGGACCGCGGGCGTGGGCGTCCCGCGGGAGCCAGAGATGTACAAGCCGGGAAGCCCCGAGGGAGCGCTAGCGGCGACTCTGGGCGCGGCGGCGTGCACTCTCGCACACGCACGAGCACACATGTGATCTTGCTAGCGGGCCCTGGAGGAACCCTCTAGACAGCATCGCATGGGACACGTGGGGTGAGCATGGTCCCGCGGGCAAGACGGCAACAGAGATCGAACCGCCGCGGAGGCAGAATGATATGGCAGTGCTCCACCCGAGGAGCACACCGGGCGAACTGCAAGACATCCCCGCCTACGCCACGCGCAACATCATCGAACGATATCCGAGCTTACAGGACAGAGAGGCACGGGAGGGCTACCAGTTGCCATGGGTACAACCAACGATGCGATTTGAAAAAACTGCAGTTCCCTCACGCTGCGGAGACCATGGCGCGCCAAGCAATGCCCGGCAAAGGATGAGCGCGGGACCGCTCGCCGCAGGCGTCCAGCATAGCATGCGCACTGGCAACGCTTCTCACGCCGCTGCATGCTCTGTGGTCGAGGCGGCAAACGAGGGCGCTGCCCGATGGCCTGCGCACGCCTTCCAACACCAGCTAGCAACGCGACCCACGGCAACATGGAGCACGCACACACACACACAACACCAAAGATACACCCACAAGAGCCTAGCGCTTCTGCTCTCGGGAGCGGCCAAGAGAGGGGTGTCCAAGAGGGGGGGGTGCAAATCATGACCGGCGGCATGTGCGCCGCCCAGCGGGGGGGCCAGGGACGTAATGAAATAAGAAGAGGCGCCACGAGATCTGGGGAAATATCATGGCCCCCGCCATGATATCCACCCCCCCTTAGTCATCACCCCCCTCTTTTCCGCCCCCGATGCTCCTCTGTGCCCACCCTTCCCTGATCGGAGCCTCCCTTTCCCCCGTCCGTCCTGGCCTCGGCTTCGGACGCTGTATTTTTTCTGGATCCTCGTCCTGTTGTGGTCCTCTAGTCTGTTGTTCTGCCTCTCTGGTCGCCGTCTCGTCCTCGTCATCGTAGTGGTCATAATGTTTTGCTTCTCACGGAAATCGTCTTCGCCATCGTAGTGGTGGTGGTATTCATCGACGTCGTCGTCGCCCTCCTCCCCATCGACAAGAACTCTCCTTACGGGCAAGGCACATGCTCTCGATGCGGTCGATCCTCTCGGAGATGGCCTATGACATAACTCAGGGGAACTGCAAGGTCACTGCGGAAGAACCGCATGACATGCGAACGCAATAGCATGAACACGGGTAATCTCGCACAACCCGTCCGAGACATCCAACTTATTGCGATTGTTTGTTCGGGCCTATAAGATATTGCAATCGACGACTACACCTCACTATGCCGATCCATCGCATGCTGGTGTGATTTCTTTGCGCCTGCCACCTCTGTACACCTTGCTAAATCACAACTGACTTCCACTACCCTGGGCGTGAGTCCCTAAACAAGATTGGCAGCGTTCGCGAAGACGGCAACAAACCACAATTACCTTTTCAAGATAGCTGGAACCGTACTACAATACAATTACTCCTGTGGCTGCATAACACCCAGCATCGCTCTTCAGAGTACTAAGGGGACCACTCATAATAGTACGCCGGAGAGTGAAGAGTATAATAGAGAGTACTCATGCAAATACTACAGACGACCATGAGGACTACCACACATGAGACCCAAAAGGAAGCCGTGAGGGAGACCGTGCGGGAAACCACGTGGGAGATGATGCGGGAGGCCATGCGGGAGGCCATGCGGGAGACCATCAACGAAATTTCACGGGAGACGATGAGAGATGCCACACGGGAGAGCATACGGGAGACCACAAAAGAGATCACGCGGGAGGCCATGCGGGAGACCATGCAGCAGACCAAATGTGAGGCCTATGGGTTCCAGATCCCGAGGAGCTCACACCCGGCCTCGGAGCAGAGACGTCCGCCACCGTGCCGCGGGGGCACGGAGTGGGCGTGTCCTCAGGTCCTCCGCCCACCTCCACGGGCCTCAGCCCCCACTCCCGGGCAATCTCTTTCAGGGGCCCGGAGCCCGAATTGTCAGTGCTCCCGGGGCTTGCCGCATCCTCTCGGGGCTCGCCGCATGCCTTTCTCCTGGGCCCGAGAGGGGCCCCAACACGGGCCTAGAGGGCCCCCAGGAGGCCGAGCGAACGCTCCAAGACGCTCCATGATGGCTCCCAGACTGCCCAAGAGGCCTCCAAGACGCTCCAAGAGGCTTCCAAGAGGCCCCCCCCAGGAAGGCCTCAAGAGGCCAACACCATTGATTTCCCGTAAACTTTTAAAGGTTTTTTGGCGTTCTATCCTTTTCGGCTTCCCGACGCTCCCGGACGGTCCTAGAGGCCCGCAAGATCGCCTCAAAATGGCCCGAGAGGCGCCCAAGGCGTTCTAAGGGGCACCAAAGACGGCTCCAAGAGGGGGCCCAGATGGGTGACCCGAGCGGACATTTCGAGCCCTCGGAGCCAAGGGTCCCTCAGGAGGCCCCAAGAGCCCCAAGAGGCCCCTTAAGAGGTCCCCAAGCGGCCCCAAAGATGCTCCCAAGAGGCCCCCCAAACTGCCCCCAAGAGGCCCCCGAGAGCGCTCCGAAGAGACCCCGAAAAACATCCCTGAAAACCCTGACGCGCAACCTTGGCACGGTGGCGGGATGGGCAGACGGCCATTCGATACTCTCTGTGCTGTGATATGACATTCGTTGTCGTAGTGGGCACAATGTTAAATCAATTATGGTGTATTATGTGGCGACGTGGTCGCATCAATTATTTCTTGTCGTAGCGGTCGCAACGTAGCACAGTGGCGAGATGGGCCGAGGGCCGCTAGATCCGCCGCCCCCTGTTGGCTTGGCACAGTGGTGCCCTGCGTGCTAAACCATTTTCGATTTTGTTTTTTTAGAAACCCTGGGGCTTCGACCCGTCCCGCCGGCACGGAATAAGGACCCGTAAACTCTCCAGGTCGTTGGTCTTCCCGCGCCAGACGGCCCCAAGGTGGCCTCCAAAACGGCCAAGATGGTTTCCAAGATTTTCGCGATGGCACCAAGAGAACCCAAGATGGTTCGCACATGTTTCCAAGACGGCCCCAGATGCACCCAAAAAACATGCGACCCCGCGTAAAATCGCTATCACTGCGTTATAATTCATCTAAAATGAAAAATATACGAAGCAGTTCTGATGGCAGATGCTGACAAAAACAACCTACGTCACAGGCCCGCCAACTCACCACTGAGCGCGCCAGGAACGCCAGACCGCAGCTGAGCGGCGGGAAAGCAAGGCCTGACGGCCTCGCTGTCCTGCGTGGTTCGACCGATGACTGGGCGCGTCATGGCGCACGGTCACGCGAGGCTTGCCTCTGCGACTGAAAACGACTGGGTTTTGCGCATCTTGTCCGCCGGCACGTCGTCCACCAGGGACAGGTGATTGCCGCACGCCTCTGCAGGAACGATCACGTCCCCGTGGTCATCTTCTCCCAGGAGACCTCCGACAGCAAATCCGGCTCGCCCTAAATGCTTCACGAACACATTGAGGTAGTGGAGGCCACGATCCGTATGCCCGTACACGACTTTCAGCTCGACTTTACCAAGAGCAACCCATTCGGGAGTCTTGACCTCATATGGCGACACGCTGTAGTGGTACCCTCCAGGTTGTTTTGCATCTGCCCACGATCCTGTGATGTTCAGCTCCTGGAAGTACATATCCGCGCAACCTCCTCCCAGTCGGCGCGCATCGGCTTGGACGCGAAGCAATGCGTTTTCGGCGCTCATTCCACGAGGAATGTTGATCAAAACATGCTTGCCCGTCTTCATCAAGTCGAACCGGTCACCATGAATATTTTGCAAGTGGGGATCACCAGTGGCAGCAGCCCCGCTCGGCGTCGGGCTGGGCGTCGGGTTGGGCGTCGGACTGAGCGTCGGGCTGGGCGTCGGACTGAGCGTCGGGCTGGACGTCGGTGACGGCGTTGCCGGGGGTGGTGCCGGGGGTGGTGCCGGGGGTGGTGCCGGGGTTGGTGCCAAGGCCACCAGATTGACAGTGGCTGGGGTCGTGGGAATTCCAGTGACATAGCCAGAGCGCTGCGAAGCCGTCAGGAGAGTCCACCTCTGCGAAGCGGTCATGGATCCCGCCGTTGGGTTGTCCTCGTACATGATGGCCGCCAGCCCAGAGACGTGCGGACAGGCCATGGACGTGCCCGAAGAAATACCCAACGCGACGTTGCTACCGATGTAGGTCGAGAGGATGGACGTGCCTGGAGCCCAGACATCGATGCAAGAGCCGTAATTGCTGAAGCTCGACTTGGCCCCTGCCGAATCATAAGATGCCACCGTGATCGCTGACGGGATCCAGGCTGGATTGTAGTTGCACGCATCATCGTTTTGGTTCCCTGCAGCAACCACCACGGTCACGCCATCGGCCACCAAGGCGTTGATCGAGGTCTGCTCGGATGTGCTCTGGCCAGCGCCCCCAAGACTCATGCTGACCACAGCTGGCCTTAGACCAAGCGACAGCACATGCTGTTCGGCAGCAATGGACCAATAAGTGAAGCCTTCGCCGTTATTGTCGAGGACCTTCATTGCCCACAAGGTCGCGCCGTCCGCGACGCCATACGTCGAGGCCCCCACCGTGCCCGCGCAGTGCGTTCCGTGCCCATGGCCGTCTGCAGCGCACGTCGTGCTGCTGGGCGTGCACACCGTGTAGGTCCCCGTGGAGGCAATGTCGATCCCAGCAAATGCCCGGCCGCCGAACTCGACGTGGGTCGTAAGAATGCCAGTGTCCAGCACATACACGTTGACACCCGCGCCCCGCCCCCGGACCTCGTCCGCGTTGATGTCTTGGATTCCCCACGGGTATGTCCGCCGAGTGGCTCCTTCTGGAACGATGTGCTCCCAGGCCTTTTTGACGAACGGGTCCTCTTCGCATATGACCACGAGCGCGGGGTACTTGGCCATGATCGCGTCCTTATCTGCCTCTGTCAAGAAGCCATGCACGAACTTCTCTGGACATTTTGCTCCTGGCGGGCATTCTTCAGTTCCAGTACAGAACGGGTTCTGGAACTCATTACACAATGTTTTCACCTCATCAGCCGTAGCATCGCTCTTCAGCGTGCAAATCCACGACTTCGGATCAGCAGCAGTCGACATCTGCATCAGCCCGAGGTCAACTGCAGAGACCAGGCTGGCCACGCCGCTGGCCCCGACCAGGCTGGCGATCAAAATGGCATGCGCCATCTGTGAGACGAATGGAACAAATTGGCTGCGGTAGGTGTGAATGTACAGAGGAGTGTGCGGATGAGGCTCAAAACTCTGTGAAAGCCAACCGGAGGCAAGCTTGAGCCAAAATGGCTACGGACCAAACAAAAATGGTCTCAAGATGGCCCAGGACGGCCCAAAATGTCTCCAAGAGGTCCTCCAGGAGGCCTCTCGGGCGATCTTGGGGTGACCTTGGGGGCCACTTGGGCCGTCGGAAAGCCGAAGGAGCGCAAATGCCCAAATCCTTCAACAAAATGCAAATCCATGTTTTTTACATCTTCGGGCCTTCCTGGAGGACCTCTTGGAAGCCTGTTGGGCTGTCTTGGAGGTCTTTTGGGAGCCTCTGGGGCCGTCTTGGGCCATCTTCAGGCTATCTTGAAACCTCTTGGACGCATATTGGGCCGTCGTGGAGGCATCTTGGGGCCATCTTAGCCGCGTTCGAAGCCATCTGTTCCCCCCGTCTACGCAGCTTCGGGGAACAACTGCTTTCGAGATGGCCAAAGATGGCCTCCAAGATGCCCCCAAGACGACTGCGATTGCTAAATGGGCGCCGAAACTGGCCCCAAAATTGCCTCCAGACGGCCCAAGATGTACGCATGACGGCCCAAGGTGACCCCAACATGGCCCAAGAGGCCCCGCTTCTTGTGGATTCCAAATCACGTGGTACGCCTTTACAGCACTGCGCGATCACATTGTTTGCAGCCGATCGCCATGTGTGAACATTGATTCCCACCAGTCCTCTGGGCGTAGGTGGTTCCGGGAGTTTCCTCTTTCCCCTTCGGGGAGGGGTTTACCCCTCCCCCTAACCCCCTCCCCTGGACCTGGACGGGGGGTTTCGCTGGTAGTTGGAGCGTCCAAAACGGCCTCGGCGAAGAAGCCAGAATCATCGGTTTTACTTTGGTTTTGGCTGATTTTAAAGGCTCCCGAGGGAGGAGGCTAATTGGGGGACCCCCTTCCTTTGATCGATCACCTCCAAGATGGCCCCAAAAGCGCTCCCAAGGCTCCCAAGAGCGGCCCAAGAGGGCCTCAAGAGGCGCCCAGGAGGCCCCAAGTGGTCCCCAAAAGGCCCTGAAGAGGCTCCCTAGACCCCCAAGAGGCCTCAAGATAATCCCCGAGGCATCCAAGAATCCCCCAGGCGCTCCAAGAGGACTCCAAAACAACTTCCAAGGGACATCCCAGGAGGCTCTTGTGCACGTCATTGTTCTTGTTCCTTCTCATCTCTCTCATCCTCCTCCTCCTCCTCCTCCTCCTCCTCCTCCTCCTCGGCCTACTCCTCCTCCTTCTCCTCCACCTTATCAGCCTCATCCTCCTCCTCCTCCTTTCCTCTTCTCTTCCTCCCCCTCCTCCTCCTCCTCCTCCTCCCCCTCCTCCTCATCATCCGCCTATTCCCCGTCCTCCCTCCTCCCTCCTCCCACTTTCCCACCTGCTGCCCCTCCTCCTCCCCCCTCTCCTCCTCCTCATCCTACTTCATCCTCGCCCTCTTGGGTAAGACGGGTCCCCCAACCCCTTGCTACTCTGTATGCTCCCTCACTTCCCTGATCACCGCAATTCGCCTGGGCATCGTTTTTGGATGGGCTGGTGGGGATACTTTTTTGATCTGCGGCCCGCAAGGAGAAGTCCAGAGGGCGGTCAGAACGAGGCTGGGGCACAGCGCACGATGATTAGCGCGAGAACGCGTGGAATGCACATGCAAGACAATTAAACGAGGCGGCCACAGGTGGGCAACCACAGGCTGGACCCGCAGGTGGGGCCGGGTCGAAACCCTGCCGGAGTGCAGCAGGCGAGTCGGCCACGGATGTGCAGACAAAGAGGGGAGGACAGAGAAGGCAAAACATCGGACGCTGAACGTGTGCCAGCGAGCGGAGGGGGGAAAAAAAGAAGGGACGGACCCGCCGGTGGGGCCCGGACTGCCAGGCAAGCCAAACCATCACTCACTTGGACGTCGGCCAGCCTGCAAGCAACAGAGGGGAGTGCAGCCAAGCTCCATGGGAGCGACCAAGAGAGCCCTGGTACCCGCGGTGAGCGTCTTGTGCATCCAGAAGGCACTCCTGTGACTGTAGCGGACGTCTTACACGGGCGCCAATCGGGTGCTGGACCGACGACCCTATCTGCCAATGCCGACAAGGCTGACCGTACTGTCACCACGCCAATGTGCAAGATGGGGAGCTGGGGCCGCTGTCGCACTAACGACGACGGGGGAGCCACTGCATGCTGCCGACTCCAAAGGGTGGGCCCAGACATGGCCGAGGCCAGCGTCCGGTGAGTCCCGGCCCGCGCACGCCGCGAGCAAAACTATTCCTAAAGCGGAGAGAGGGCGAGCACCTTAAGCGAGCCGTCTCGGAAGAACGCGGGCCGACGCAGCGGCAAACCGACGGCGGGGTTATTTCAGCCGGCCGATCGGGTTAAAGGCCCACGTACACGCAGGAACTACCTCAGTGGCGGGGGGGTACCTCAGCCCCAAGAGGTAACAACAGTCCGCCCCCCCCACTGCAACGGTGAAACAAGCCAGCCGCGATCAGTCGACTGGAGTAGCCTGGTGGAGACCCGCGCCCAGTTGCCCACATCAACTCATCCTTCTTCGGAAGTGGTGTCCTGTGGCGGCGAGAAATGGTGAGATAAGCAGCCGAAAGCCGCAGACAGAGTGAAGAGGAGGGGAGCACGCAGACGAACGCCGCGTGTGGCGGCACGTGGCGACGAGGAAAGGGGGAGGTGCAGCCGATAGCCGCGGAACTGGAAAATGTGACGGTCGGTGGGGGAGCGCCCTGGCCGCAGGGCTTCGTCAGGGGTGGGGGCGTCCTAGGGGGTCCCACGTTACCGTGCCAAGCAATCCTTTACCGGGGGAGTTCACGCGTTGTCCCGGCGACCTGACGCCGCATGCCATGGCTTCTTCTGTATGGCTGACGTCGCTCCTAATTGGGGGCCCCTTCAGGCTCTCTGTTGGTCTACCAGCGCGCGTGCTCCCACCCTCGCTGCCGCTTGTCGGCGTATTGCTCGTCACTTTTTTGGGCGGTCCTCTTCTCCCTGTTCCCCCGCGAGGTCCCCCTCCAGGAGCTATCATGCTGGTCCCACTCTTCCCATTGCGGCCTTGGGCGACATAGGGCCGGAATACCCCCAGTCGGTGTGCGCCGGCGGGGCGGCTGTGTCGTCTCTGGGTCTGCTCCATGGGTGCTGCGGCGCAGCCCCGCTGTGAGTGCTGGAGGGCCGGGTCTGCTCGTGGGGGCGTGCCCTGTCGGGTGGGGCAGGGGGGTTGGGTGCGCTGTCTCTGTTGGCCCAAGGGGGTGGGCTGCCCTTGCTGTCGTGCCCCTTGGTTGCGTTGGCCCTTGTGCTGCGATGTAGTAGGTTGCGATATTTGTCAGCGACCTTTGTCCAGTCAGCGCGGATATGGTGGCGATTCACCAACTTGTAGGCATCGTACCCCGCGTTTTTCCACGCCTGCAGGAATTCTTCGCACCTCTCCCTTGTGTTCCTCCTGGGGTCCGTATGGATCTCGTTCCACGCTGGACCCTCTCGGCTACCAGCCTTGCGTGCCCATCCTATCCACGCCCCGTTCAAAGCACCCCCGAGTTCCCTCTGTAATCTCACGACATTCTCTTGGCCTGTGTCGTCCCTCTGGATGTCGGCCTCTTCAATGGGTCTCAAGTACATGGGGGGCCCCCCTAGGGGGTCGCTCCGATGCGGAGGTGGGAGTGGCTCAGCCTGTGGGCGTGGCCGTCTCCCTGGGCTGCCGTCCTGCCGGGGGCTGAGCGCCTGCCGGGTTTCGTGCGGAGGGGCTGTTGGCTCCTGGATAGACTCCTGATTGCGGTCTGGCCTGCCTCCTCCCCCTCGAGGTTTCCTTTGATCGCCAGTCTACGTCGTGCGGATTGTCGCCGTTACCGTGGGAGTCCGTATCCGAGGTAGGTTCCTCCTTTACCTCCTTCGCTGCGTCCGTGGCCCCAGGGGGCTGCTGGCTGAGGTCGTCACGGCTAGCGTGGCCGTCCGAGGCTGGGGGGCGCTTGTGTCGGGCGGCGGCGGGGGAGTGATCCCTAGCTTCGTTGCTGTTCCGGGCACTGTGCTCGCCAGCGAGGTATTCCAGCGTTCCCCCTGCGAGGTCGTCCTTCCTGAGGGATAAGAAACGGTGCAGCGTTTCCGTCGGCTGTAGCCATGGGTCTTTCCCTCTTTGGCAGTCGAGCGCGGCCGAGAAAGTGATCCACTCCTCCTGGGACTTTCCTTTGCTCCCGACCGACTGCGCGATGGCATTGGCTGCTGCAGCTCTATGGCCATCCCAAGGGATGCGCGGGGGATGCCCATTCATGGGGATCTGGTCACCGTAGATGGAGTGGAGGAAGCGCAGCAATTGGCTGTGAGTCCAGTCGGATACCTCGCTGTCCACACCCACTTGGCCTCCGACCCTCTCTCCACCAAAAGTCGACCAGCGGATGTAGATCTCATGGTTCCATTCCAGTAGGAAGTTCACCAGCTTGCGCACTGGGCTGCATGACTGCCCCCCTTCCAGGCAGAGGGTGGTGTGCGTGGGCAGCCGGGGGGCGTCGGGCGGAGGGAGTGGCGTCAGAGTGCACCCGAGTGCAGCATTGTCCTGGGTGCTACTCGCAGCCCGCGCCTCGAGCCCAGGAGGGGGACTTGCGGAGGAGCTCTCCTGTGGGGGAGTGCTGGTCGGGGACAGGTGCGTGCGCATATCGTAGATGTCACCCTCATCAGCACCTTCGCTCGCCACCATTGGGACAGGGCTGGGGGGTAGATCATGTTGGAGTATGCGTTCAGCACCTTGTTGAGAGTGCTGGGAGCGACGTCCCAAATGTGCACCAAGCACAGCCTGCAGGCCCAGCTGGCGTTCCATTGCCTCTTGGTCCACTGCGTCAGCATAGCTTCCCATGCTGGTAGGCCTGTGCGATCGCAGCACTCAGCGCCTTCTTCAGGGTGCCAGATGAAGCGCCCATGGGCAGGTGTGCCTGCCAACCATTCCTGCACTGGGGACTGCGTCGCACTTTGCTGAGTAGCATCCGCTGCGGACCGCATCCGCTCCGAACCTGCCGTCGGAAAGCCTTTGCGGTGGCAGAGTGGTCCCTGCACAGGAGGGGCGGTAGTGGCGCGTCGTACG